AAGAATAAAAAATGTGATATAATTACTAATGGGTGTCAAAAAATTTTAAAATTTTAATTTAGTCCAAGGGATAAAAGTAAAAATAATTTCAATTGTAAAAGGACTAATTTACTCTTTACTTGTTAAGCAGAATTCATTAATTTATTAATATCAGTTGTAAATTACATCTGTTTGTCAGACAAATAATAACATTAGTTAGCAATTTAATAATTGATATTGTTGCTTATGATTGAACAATTAATATCTAGTTTTATATAATTATTGACATGTCAACTCATATAATTTGCAACTCATATTAGTAAATTAATAAGTGAAGTAAAAAAATTAACAATTAGTGATTCTATATAACAAGTTGAGGGTACTTTAGTCTTTTAATAATTGAAATTACTTTCACTTTTATTACCTTGGACTGAACTAAATTTTAAAACTTTTTAGGAACCACTGCCAAACATAATGAATTATGATATTATGTTTAGTTTAAATTTAAATGATAACAAATATAGAAAAGTTAACTATGCACTCATGCCTAATTGTTTTCATATATATATATATATAATAGTTAACTATAACTATAAAACTGCTTTTACTTATATTATTTCATATTATATGAAGTTTGGAAAAATGATTTAAATGCATAAAAATTATTTTATATTATCATATTTTTTTTATCTTAAAGTAACTTTATATCCAAAGGTTATTCAAAGTGAAGATGAGGGTGAGCATGAAGAGGAAGAAACTAAATCATCATTTGCATGCTACAATCATGATTGAAGAACATAAAGAAAAAGAGAAGAATGATCTAAAACAAAGCTTAAGAAGATCGAAAACATTCATACAAATTTGAATGCATCTTGAAAGCCTCAGACTTGATGGATATAATATCATTAGGTTGGAAGTCTTTATATTAAATTTATTGATTTAGTTATGCAATATTGGCTCAAAATATTTTAAATCAAAACACGCATTTTAACTCTCAAGAGAAAGAGTGAGATATATTTTTCTACAATTATATTTTTCATCCTTGATCATATATATCTCATAAGATTTTTAATGTTTTGATTATTAACTCCATGAAATTTTTAAAGTTGTTCTATTTATTTAAAAAGGAGTTAAGTTGAAAAAGTTTTAAACACTTGAAATCTAAGATTTGAAATGCGAATTGTGCAAAAAATCATATTTAACCTTTGCTTATATTTTTAGTCATATTTTTCACTACATAGATCATTTTAATATAAAATATATCTCATTTGAAAATAGACTCCAACATCTTTTCTATTATAATTCATTTAAATAAAGTACTATTGAGAAAGATATAAATTTTAGAAGTTGAGTATTGAGATATTGATTTTGTGCAGTATTTAGAGTTGATATTTAGTCACTCTTTTGATCATATCTCAAAATTTATATCAAATTTAAGTGTGAAACTTCTTTTATTGAAAAATAAACTTCACAATCTTTCCAACGATATGTAATTTGTTAAATTTAGAGTTTTATTAAGTTATAGCCTTAGAAGTTTTGTGCAGTGGAGCCCTCCAATACATGCGTGAAACATCCTTAAAATGCTTCAATATCCAATTCAAGTGTGAATCACTTCCCATCCACACGTAAATCAGCCTCTAAGAGCCTTGTTTTCACTCAATAGTTTATATGATCCAATTCAAGCGTACATCATTTTTTATACACGCGTGAAATATCATCTAAAGCCTTATTTTTTATTGAATAACTTATATAATCCAATTCAAACTTGAAAGCACATAGCATCCACGCGTGAATTGTCACATATATGAAGCTTGGAGTTTCTACCAACCATTTTACGCTTGAGAGTGAAGAGCATTCAAGCTTGATTTGTCACACAATGGTTTGAAGTTTACATCTTATAAATCATGCTTGAAAATGCTAATGTCCATGCTTGAAACGTCATTAGTGAAACAATGTGCTGCCATTTCAAGCTTGAAATAAACCAATTCAAGCTTGAAACATCACACATGGAAGTTAAAAGCTTCTGCCATCCATTTCAAGCTTGAGAGCCATTAGCATTCACACTTGAAATGTCACTAGTGAACTAAGAAGAAAATAGCTAGCTCCAATTCAAGCATGAATGGGTTCATTTCAAGCTTAAAACGTCATCAACAACTATAGTCATTGTGCAATGGCTATAAACAGTCATATTATATTTCTAATACCTATTTCACTCCATAGACTATAAATATAACACTCCAAATTTATCTTAATAGGAGATTAAGCTCAAAATCATCAATTATAAAATTCATCTTTATATTACTCTTATTTTATAAAAATAATTGTTCTTGAGCCAATATCATTTATATCTTTATCATTTGAATATTAGAGCTTTATTGTAATCAACATTGCTCTCAGAAAATGTTTCAATTGAGTGATTCACATATTCAAAATCATTGTAAAGGTAAGGGAAGGATTTTTCTTATAATTAAGAGAGGTTGTTTCTTGAGAAAAGAAACTCACTAATAGAGTGAGTTGTTGTAAAGGTTCACAAGTATCCAAACTAAATTTATGGTTATACTATGGTGACAAGCACCTACTTAAGCTTATGTTATAGTAAAGAAATTTCAAGTAGTTACTTGGAGATTGGACGTAGGCTCAAGTGGTGGAGCTGAACCAGGATAAATCATAATTTGCACACTCTCTTCCTTTAGCTCTTTATATTTTTAGCAACCTTAGCTTATGCTATGTTTTAGTGTACTAAATTGAGTTTGATATATTTACATTCTCTTACTTAAACTTCTTCTTAGAAATTAATTTCATACATATTGAGCTTGTGAAAATTACTTTAACATTCTTACAATAAGAGTTTAGTACTTGAATTTGTTTAAACTTTTCCTTATACACTGTTTTGATGAAAAAGGTTTAAAAGAACCAAAAATTTTATAAACACCCAATTCATCCCTTTCTTAGATGTGTTGCCATATCTAACATCCACTAGTAATTATGTTACATCTCTTATCCTTATTGAAATTCTTCTTAAATTTAAATCCCGTGAGTAAATGGGTAGTTTTTATAATAAGAAAATAAAACAATATTAATTTAACTCAATTTAAATTTATTCAATAAGACTATATAAATGGGTTTTGTAGTTATTAGCACATTATTCATATCCTTGATAGAGAAAGAGATACCTTCAGAGACATAAAAGGGCTTTGTCTTAAGAAATGGCAACATAGAAACTAAATAGGAAATGAAACTAGAGAAACAAATACAATCAACCTATTTAATCAAGTAGAAGCACACTAATATCCAAGGATTTAATAGATAGAGAGTAAATATACAACCAAAATAGAATGTGCAACTAAAATTCCAAAAATAGCACAAAAATAATATTCAAAATGTTAACTCATTGACATGTATGAAGCATTATGTCACGAGTCTCACATCGAGAAGTCTCACAAGTGACGTGGGGTTTATAAGTGTGAGAGGCTCTCCACTCAACTAGAGCCAGGAATAAGGATTGAGTTTAAAGGGTCGGACTTGGAGACCCTATTTAAATAAGGTTTTGGGCTTTAGAAATTAAATTTTTCTTAAAGTAATCGAGCTTGAGGGCCTAGCTTTGATAAGCCCTGTAGAAAAGGGCTCGGGCCCAGGCAGCCCTTCAAGTTGGGTTATCTTATATATAGATATACATATATACATTTGACTGATAATTACACAATTTGGTTTTCATTTATTATAGGTGATGAAGAAGAAATTGTAGAGATAAATGACATTAAATTTGCACCTATATCTTCAACAATTGGACTTACATCTAAGAGATCTAATATTTTATTTTTAAATGATGATGAGGAGGATTGCAATTTACATTGGTGGAAGATTTTAATCTTCATTTTAAATTTAAAATTGTAAATCTTTATCTAATTTTATATGAGACTTTAATTTGTTTTATATTGAATTTTAGAATATTTTATTTAAATTAAAATGTTATATTTTTTGGGGAAAGAGGGCTTAAGGGCTTGACCCTGAGCCCTATAAACAAGAGCCGGGCCTCAAAAATAAGTCAAATTTTGGATAATTAGGCTTTAGGGCCTAAGCCCTTAAGGGCCGAGCTCATATGGGCTAAGCTCATAAAGGCCAGGCTCGCTTTGATTACCACATCTGTGTCAACAGGCTAGGTTTTTGATATGAGTTTTCTCTTTGAGCTTGTGCTCATTACACTGGTGCTTTCATTGAGAAGTCAATGTCATTGAAAGGGCTACCCATCGAGGATTTTGATAGGCAGGAGGTTAAGTGAGGTACCATGGAGTGGAGTCACTAGGAACATCGGCTTTTGATGAGGTGGCATTATCATAAGTCCCATGTTGATGAGTCTCACAAGTAGTGTGTAGTTTATAAGTGTGAGGAGCTCTCCCACCCAACATGTTAGTCTTTTAGGATGTATTTTTTCTGTGGGCTTATGCTCGTTACACATTTTTCATTAAGCATTAGAGTAGAAAACATAAATTGATTAAGCCCTGGATCAAACCAGAAAAACAATTGAGGGACTAGCTCAAATACAATGTAAATCTAAAAATTAGTTCACATACATTCACCCAGTCCAAAAACATACTTGGGGAACAAATGAAACTGACTAAAGTGAAACATAGATATTAAGAGAGACAAGCTAAGATAAGGGAAGAGCCTAAAAAAAGTAGTGATGATGTAAGGGTAGACGAATCGAAGTGAGGCTAAAGAAAAGCTAGCAAAAGATTTAAGTGGAAGCGGAAGATTAAACTTACATGAGAGAGCAAGAGGCAAGAATAGAAGCAACGATCTTAAATGCAAGAAAGGGAAGCTTAGACGAGATTTCAAATAACAAGAGTTCAGAAAGTATTTGAATTACAAAAAAATTAGGATAAAAATTGAATTTAAATTTAAATGAAATCCAAATCCACAAATTTTTAAGTGCCTAAATAAAAAATTTGGTTCAAATTCAAATCCTCATGCATTCAAATATAATCTAAAACTTTGAAATGAACTATAATGGCAATTCAAGATGGCTATAAAAGTTATAGGAAGCACCGCTTTTCACAAGTCCTTTACAGTGTAGCTCGTTTCATATTACATGCAAATACACAAAATCCACTCTGATTTACTTGTTTATCTCACTCGGAAATCCAATTGACAATAACCTCCTCAGCATTGTAGACTCCCCCAATCACATGTAAGCTATTCTAACAAAAAATCCTCTCATCCAAGGCACTTTGCACGAGATGAGATATAATGAATCTAACTCTGAATAAATGATACAACTAATCGTATTTACATTACAACAGAGACAAAGAACTCCACCTTATTCCTTCTCCTAACATTCATATCAGTACATCATTTGATTTGATAGTCAACAATGAATACTTTGCCTTTATTGAGATTCTGCCATTGTCGACGCAAAGCCTTGCTCCGGTGACCACCCAGTAACCTGGCAAATCCTCGGGACCACGGGTAGTTTCATTTGTGTCCACAAGGCTCAGCATTTTCATAGCTCTAGTTGGCACAGGAGGGCTACCTTGGTAAACTGCTGAATTCACATCCACTTTTGCTGGCTTCACAGGAGAAGGCACTTCCTTGCTAAGCCTTGTGCTAATCAATGCTGAGAAAAACCCTGATTTTTTAGTTCCAGTAGAAGTCCCGTTCCATTCTGATCGGCGGATTGTAGCTGAAGCAACTGCTGAGAATCCAAGCTTCAAGAAAAGGACTTTCTTCATTCCCATCGACTTGACCTCCAACCAGGCCTTTGTTACAATAGCTGCGGGCTCATCTATATGGGAGCTGTTGTACTGCAATGGTGCTGTGCACACGTGTGAAAACAGCCGACACTTCACCGGTTCATAGTAGCCACGTGCAACTTCTTCATCATTAGGTTCATGCTTATGGTCATCTGAGATTTTAAGGATACCAGGAAGTTCTGAGAGATGTAGGAGATGGATTGCGAGTTGATCACTTTTCTTGCCTTCCAAGTGTAGTCGGATACCGGTTACAGGTCGATTTTTAGAGTCAACCTGCAAATTACAGAACAAAGTAACAATTAAGTTTTTTGGCCTTTAATATATTGCTTATATAAGACAACTAATGCACCTAACAACAGGAAAAGCCAAGTTCAACATAGGTATTTTGATAATTTGAAAAGCAAACATAAACTGTTCACAGAATCACTGGTGTGACACATTAATAATGGATTACTGTGAAAACATAAAATTTACAGAGTGCATGCTTTTAAAATGAATACTTAGTAGTACTTTCAATGTCTCTCCCTAGCCAAAAGAAATCCAGATAAAGAAAACTAGAAAAGGGTTATTTCAGAGAGACAGTTCTTAGTTAAGTACACACAAATTAAGCATTCATGATTTCCAAAAATAGTTTAAAAATCTTATTTAGTGACAATCAAACCATAGGAGACATTTGGTACGCTGATATGTACCTAGGCAAGGTATAAGATCATGGTATTTAAATACTCTTGTTTGGCATGGCAATTGAAAATTAGCATATAAAAATGGCACAACTAGAAGTTCTCAAAAGTGAACGAGGTCTAGAGAACTTAGATGGGAGATCCCTGTGATTTTTTAGTAGATTGAGATATTATCTAAAAAGTGTGCTGCTATGGCATTTGGAAATGACATGGTTTTGATAATAGTGTAACACAAGTATGTTGGATATTGACTGACATCCAAAATGTCAAAGTCAAGATCTTGTGCACCAAATGCCTCTAACATTATTCTACAATTAGACAAAGCAAAACAAAAACTGGGCATACAGACCAAAATTCTAAGGATCATATATAAGGTAGGTTTAAGATCATTGTCATTGGAGATAAAAGAGCTTAACATTGAACAAAACATTACGTTTTTCCTTCCAATAAAAGGCAGGTTTATACCCTTTAACTCTTACAGTAATGATACTCGTGCTTTGCATTGAAGAGACGCCTATTACTTGGTAAAAAGTGACAGATTTCAATTTTGCGAAGATCAGACCAAATTACTAACTAATCAAAAAAATATTCTGATCATTGAATATGTTGATTACCTTTGCAGTATTAACATAAAGCTTGGGCCCCGTGAGACTGAACTTCAGTGAGGGCAACATGTTCCTTCTATGTCCAGCACCGAATCCGAGAGGCAGATCACCATAGACAGGAGCCCACTGTCGAGGCAACTGATATTCAAGGAATTGATGAAGCTCTTCTATTGGAGGTTTATCTGCTTGATGCATGAAAAGTCAAACATTTGTACCAGATAAGAATGGTATTTGAATTCATAATAAGAGCAAGATCAAGTCAAGTTATATAATGATTTTCCATTTACACACACATATCAAATGCCTACGCTTCATCAAAGGGAATAATATCAGCATCTATAAAAACAAATGACATCTGCATCAAAAATTGTCATATGACAAAAGAACAAGATGTAAAATAAAGCTCCAAAACATAGCTTTCAAATGAGTCAAAACTTAAAGAACCATGAGTTTGTAACAGACTCAGGGTGATAAATTTTCTGCACAGCATAGATAGATGCTACAGTAGTTCAGAAAGTCTGACTCGAAAATGGATCCTTTGCAGATCTTCACAGGTTGCCATTGGAGAGAGAAAGACTCAATTTTTCAATGTTAGAAACTTCTCTCTCCAATTTCCAATGTTGCAAGCTACTCCGATCCATAGCCTTCAATCTATCTCACTCCAATTGCACACTGTACATTTATTCCTTAAATGCAAAGGATCCAAACTGAATTCTTCACATACTTCACGCACCTCAGAAAATTGGCTACCCTAACTTTAACCAGTAGAAATTACAACTCAAACATTTAAAAGAAGCCAATAAATGGAAGGAGATAAACCAAAGTCATCATAATATGGTTATCTACTCACATCTCAGGTACAAATTCACTGCATGACTCAAAAATCCATTGCCAGGGCTAGAGTTCAACAGCATAGTAAGGGGCACAAATGACATTGATATGACATTAGGTGATTGTGATATGGTTGAGAGCCACTGGTTATAAGATTGGCCAGTATCGATACCTCCCCTTCGAACTGAAATGCTCACAATATCCTGCATTCAAAAAAATATAAATGTTCAAATCTGTGAGATGAAGGACAGGACACTAACAAGGTGTGCAAATGCACGCAATGAAATTTTTGGCAAATGCTTGTTATAAAATTAAAAAAATTGGCAAATACTAACATCATTCTTGGAGTGACTTTTTACAATTGGCCTACCAGCAGCATGAAAAGGCCTCTGAGCCGACCAAAGGTTAGCATGATCATCCTGCATAGATGAACTCAAATGCACTTAGGTATGAACCAGTTGTTAGGATTTCCAAAGTTTTCAAGTTTTACATATTTGTAGATTTTCTAATCCCCTTGTTATTATAATTACAAATAACAGAAAATGTAAAATTTAATATGAATTCCCACTTCTTTGCATCTTGTATTACACAATTACATCAAGAGATTAAGCATATGGTAAACTAAGCCATATTAACTTGAAATATCTGCAAAACAGAATTATTTCAAATGAGTTCTAGTTCTAGAATCATGAACTCTTAAAAAGATTATTTGACCTCTTCACCTGATGAAAAAAAATTTTAAAATAATCAAACTTCAAAGACATATAGTGTTGCAAGCTGTAAGAGCCAATAAAAAATTGATGCATAATTCGAAATGAATAAGCAATTACTAAGTAGAACAGGAAACATGAGCTCCAATTTAACCTGATATGGCCTCCCTCATATTTTAAAATAGTGAATGAAACATTGATTTACAGTGGCAAAAATGCCATCGCTCACAAACATCAAAATTATCATAAATTCATAATTAACTATTCCAGCATGGTATAGCAACTTGAGAACCTCTAAAATTCTAATCCTTACTTCATCATACCAAAGCGTATTAATTTTAAGATCTGAGTATCAAAATAGGATGCAGAAAATTTAGAGTCCCATCTATTACCTTTAGATTTCCTGATATCTCGCCACGATAACTTACGTTTGCGTTCTCAGAAAACCTCTCATCAGCTAATTGCTTGAGCAGTTTCTGCAGTTCAGTGGACTGCAGATCTGAATTTCTTAACTGCTTCATGTGAACCACATCCTTACCCCCCATCTTCACCCCGACAACAATATGAGTTCCATATTTTTCAATGAACCTGAGAAGTCATGTTTTATGTGGTTCACAGTTAAAAATCTAACTAACAGAAAGACCATTCATATTTTTATACAAAATAAACCAAGCCAATTTAAACACATCCAAATACAGTAGGAATCTTCAATTAGTCAACCAGAATCTTAACTGAAAACCATGGTTGTTTATCCCATATATAATACATTAATTAAGAACAAAGGGAAAGCTTATAAATTATGATACTACCTATGATTTAGTTCCTTCAAGGATAAATGCTAGTCTTTATACGTTGTTTAATACAAAGACAAAACACACCCTTCCATTCTAGAATGCTTCATGATTAAATGCAAAAGATCTTCTCTGTAAATTTAATTCATACATGATTCACGTACGCTGCTGAAATCACCATTATAACATTAAAATAAAATTATAATGCAAGTTAGTAAATTGAAACAATTAAATTCACTGTTCCTCCACATGATTGTTACTTAAACCTTGAAGCTATAATAAGCTTGCTGCCTTGCAAATTCACCTTTCAGCTTCTAAATGATTTATATAGAAGTCACACATAAAATAGTCTTCCACTATAATGTCAGCAACTACCTCTAAGGGAAAAATTGATAGTGAGTGTTCATGACATCAGTACATCTAACTCATATGCATAGATAGTAATTTCACTAAGAGAGCAACAGAGACCTTCTTAATGTCCCATGTCTTCTTAGTGTGACCTCATTCTGTATTATTTATCATCATTGTCATCACCAATACTAGGACTTTTGGAGATGAAAGGAGGGAGGGAATGATAACAGTAGTGCTTACCCAGCAAGTGCAGCAGGATTCCATGAAGAAGGAACTTCCTTAATCACTTTTTCAGAGAGAGTCATATGAGTTTTGTCTATCTCAATGGTATACAATGTTATAAACCAGCCATCAAGAGCAAGGGCTTTTGTGGACGATGCATCCTTTGACCAGCAATGTTTCATGTCAAACATGACATTGAATAGTCCAGATGGTATTTTCCCCAACAAAGACAGTTCTTGATTGAATTGCTCAGACATCTGCAATATACCAGATACAGAGAAATTGTAAACTCCACTTGATGCCTTGTACTTTCATTAAATCCATCAATAGTTTCCCAATATTCACTCATGATTTTAGTTCCATAGTGGGGGAAAAACGAACACAAATTCGCCCTAAAAGAAAAGGATAAGTTTGCAACATACTCAACAGGAATTTTAACATAAACAATATTCAAATGCATATCAGATAGCAGAAGGAATAGTGATTTTGGATATTGCTAATCTGTTGATATCAAATAGCTTCCACCCTTCAGATACACAACCATTCATGGGCAGCAGAACACAACAGTGAACTACAGTGAATTGATACACAAAAAATATGTGAAAACAAGAATCTTAATCACCTGATTAAACGTCAGCAAATCGGAGCGAAATCTGGTGCGCTCACCTTTATCGCACTTGATGGAGTTGGGAACGTCGGGAACGACAACCCCACCGGGGAAAACGACGTCCCTCATCTGCTTCTGATCAATCTCGATCAACCTCTCGCTCTTGCAACAAGAGAATCGTATATCTTTGCAGAGATCATATCCAAGCCCAATAACAGAGACGGCTTTCTCCGCCGCCGATTGGGGATCCAAGTCAGCCACACTGCCCATACCCAATGCTCCTTTGAACTCTCCGAAGTTACAATAACAATACTGCATAGTATTAGTCTTCTTCTGGCTTCTCCATCATGTGGTTGTTAGGGGCAATAAAAGCAAGAGGTTTAACAAACGACCCCATTGAACAAGTCTTGGATCTGTGGAGTTCCACAAGAAGAGCTTTCGAAGGTCTTCGATGGACCAGGCTACTGCCCTATTTTCTTTTCGGTGGGGGATTTTGTTCATTGTTTCTTGCTTCTGCGACGGGCAACTCCGAAACGGACAGTGACAGGGTTGAATTCAAAGATGGGACCTTTGAAGAATTGAGGTAGATAACAAATACAAGAGTGTGAACGAGGGAGAAGTACACGGCGGCAACTAGAACTACTTGCTCTAATCGTACTCGTGGCAGCATGTCGTGGAACGATGAGAACCAGTTAACCAGTTGAACAACGTGTTCAAATGCTGCGCATATAATTGACTAATTAACGAATTAATTATTGCCCGTGATGTTAACTTAATATTGATTAATTATCCTCATCTAATCTAATTAGCTAATAAAATTGATTTTAATATTAACCAAATTAATGCCATTAAGTAATTTTTATTTTTGTTAGGAGTATTTTTAATAAATATTTTAATTACTTCCAACATTATGTAAAATGATTTGTAAAATAAACCCAAGCAACACTTAGGTCCTTTATCTTATACATTTAATCTACTTTTATTCAGAAAAATCAAAACGAGTAAATTTTAATGTATTAATAATATTAATGATAAAATTTATTATAAAATAAATAATTTATAAATGATATACATATCTTATTTTAATTAAAAACAAGTACATGTTTATAAGATTAAGTATATAAATTTTGTAAATAAAATATTATCTGTATATTATTATTATTATTTACAAATATCCAACCACACAATTTATAAATTATTTATAATTTTTTAAAATTAATTTAAATTATTAATACTTTAACATGACTTCAACGTGTTATGTTTAAAAAAAATTAAAATAAATTAACATTAAAGGAAAGGGTCAACAAAGAATTTTCTTATTTCTTAAAAAAATAATTTAAAAAAAAATACCTTACATATCAGTACAGATTATCTAGCTTCTCTAAAAAAAGTACAGGTCAACCCTTAAGATTATGCCCCACCAATCAAGTTTAAAGTAAATCAATCTACTATATAATCACACCAAAAAAAAAGGGGGGGGTTAGGCCGGGTTCGCACAAACATATAAAGACTACTGTATATTTGGTCCCAATTTTTTTTTTTTATATTACAGAATATCAATGTCAACAAATAAATAAATCTAAAGCATAAAAATTATATTTTTAATATAATACTATGTACTTCCAAAAAAAAAGTTTGGAAAAACTTGTATATAACAATATATAAAAGTTAATGAATAGCTTATACCGTAGAAGAAACTCCTTGTTCATTAAAAAAAATATTGGAATACGTATCTCAAAGTCACCTATTTTTTATTGCGTATTTTTTTACTACCATTATTTTTTAAAAAATGAAATTTTAATTTGTAAGTACTCGGGGTTATGAAAATGACTTTCCTGATAGGTCAACATGCCAAATGAAAACTCCAAATGCGAAACATCCGTTGAGTAATAGAATAACGCATTATAAAATTAGAACAAAATTACAATAGCAAGTTACTGGTTTTTCTTTTCAGAATAAAAGAAGCAAACTTTATTAACAACAAACTAAGGAGATTACATCCTAAAAGCCCAAGGAAATAGGAATACTATCACCTCAAGCCCAACACAATGAAAGCTTCAAAAACAAAAAACCCACTATACCAATAAGAAAAACCAAAGCCCAACAAACAATCCACTACTTATACCAAAAAGAAAAAAATCCATTACTTAAAAGTACAAGGAAAAAAAATCAATAACATTATACATTGGCAACAACAAACTTAACATTTCTGAGTTTGTATATTCAAATTTGGTTGCCAATATAAAGATCTTATTAATAAATAATTTGTAAGTATTTTTATTACTATGTTTGGTATTTGGGAATTCTAAAGTTGGAAATGGATTTAAATATGAAATTCATTTGAGAGTATGTTTGATATGAAATAATCATGATTTTTTGGAATCCTGATTCAATCAAAAGTCCTATAATTTGATTCTATCATCAACTCCATGGAATTAAGTCACTGTTGATCGAGTCCATTTTTTTTCCTCAATATCACCCTCATCAACACTATTTTAGTTTTTGAAGAAAATGATACTTTTTTTTTATTTTTAGTATCAATACTTATTAAAATTATATCAAAATTTTATCATCATATCAAACACACTTTTAAAACTCAATTATATTTCAATTCTGATTTTGATTTCAATTCCTTCAAAAACTCTTCTATCATACCAAACATGACCTATAAACTTTCTCTAAGTTTAGAAACATATTTTAATTCTCGTGAATCCTGACATCCAACTTGCCTAAACTTTTCATTATTAAAAAAAAACATAACTTTAGATCTTTGCACTTTACTTACATTTTGTTATTAATTTTTACACTTTTTTTTAGTGTTTTAGATCCGTATGCTTTTAATTTTTTAGTGTTTTAGGTTCCTCCAAGGTTCCTACATTTTATTTATAGAGAAACCTAAAACATTAAAAAATAAAAATATATGGACTTAAAACACAAAGAAAAAAGTGACTGCCAAGAGGACCAATAATAAGGGCCAATAATAAAACACAAATGTGTAGGAGCTAAAGTTATTTTTCTCACAAAAAAGCAACAAATGACATCCATGACTTCAATAAAAAGATAATCAACTAACCAACTATTCGAAAAAGATGCGAGTGACAGCCAATAGGACCCAGTAAAAAAGCTAGGCAAGAAATGTTACTATTAGAACCCACCATGGAGCTGACAGAGTGGAAGCATGAAGACGATTCCCGAGGAATGGAAGCTCCATTGTCGTCGCCAACAGAACAATGAAGAGTTGAAGGCATTCCAAGAACCAGCCAACAAGAATGAGCACATGAAACATGAAACACAAAACAACCAAACAAACAAAACTGCAATTTGGGTCTCTGAGTGGCTTCCAATAAACTTAGATCCATTCATAGATCATGTTGGCAAACAAAGTTTTTTCCTAGAACCTACGTTAAAGCTATAAAAACCAGCAGCTTCAATGAATTTATGTTGCATATGTGAACACAAGTAGTGGCTTGAACATAACCTAAACTGGAACTGAGATCATTATTATTATTGGCAAAAGGAATAGTAGAAGAAGGACTAGCAAAATAAACTCGTGATTGAGAGGGAGTAACACTATTTTGCATGAGTATATGTCAAATGTAGCTAATCACCTTAAAAGAAACATCCCCTGCCATTTGTTGATATTTGCAGGGTAAAGATTGAAGATGCATTAATTTCATATCCACAAGAGGGCTATGTTTGAAATGTTGCAATGGTGGAGAGAAAATACTTGTTTGGTCTTATTTATGAGATAGAGAGAGCATTTTTTTTTTCCTTGTTCTATTTCTAGAACATCCTAATAATTATTGTATCCACCTTTACCCCTTTATCCTTATTAAATAATGAGAAAGTTATTAAATGTTATAATATTTTACTTTTAAAGTATATATAAGGTTTAAGGATAAAGTAAAAAACTTATTAAATTTTTAGATATAGTTAATGATATTTAAGGTTCTCCTTGATTCTGATAAAACATGTTGAAAGGGTCTTATAAATAGAATCAAAGAAAATAATGATATGAAATGAAAGAAGCCTTCATCTGCTGCACAATGTGTTTAGTTGGGACTAAAACACATCATGACCTTCATGCATACTTCCTCCATCCTTGTATATAAGGTGTTGTTAACTGAATTCATCATATCAATATAAAATTTTATTATTTAATTGAAATCACATAAAATTGTAATGATTTTGTCAGTTTTACCCTTAATAATATCACAATTTATATCATGGTAGTTGGTTGATAAAACAACACAATTAATATCTCTCCCATTTTTCAAGACAAGGATAAAATTGTCTAATGATTCAAAAATATCAAAACATCTTTTATATCTTGAAACAAAATAAACTTTAAAAAGCACCTTATATGCAAGAAGAAATGGAGTAAAAAGAACATGTCCCATTCAAAGTGTCTTTGATAAATATAATGACTCTGCCTTCACTTCCTCAGCCTGAAAACTTTGCCTCCTTCCCACCTTTGCAAATGGAAATTAAATGTTCTCAAACCAAACTCCATTGCAATCCCAACTAGACCAAAAGTAATAGAATAAATTTTTTAACATTTATTAGACTGAACCCTTGTAGAGCGAGCACCATCACAAAAATTTGAAATTATGACCAACATACCCAAGCACATTGAACATGCACGACCCATCTGTTCAAAAATAATATGAACATTCATTGGTTCACCATTATTTAACTTAAACTGACATAGCTGACTCATCATAACTCCAGATTCTGCAATAAGAACTTGAAATCTAAGGCTACAAAATTGGTCCCCATTTTGTTGGTCGATTTGAATGAATATCCAACCCACCATATTACCAATCAAAGATGCAGTTTCATTCGAGAAATATTCCATTGGTATGCCGTAAAATCTAATCCAGACCTTAAAACTTGAAAAGCAAAGCTTATTGCTTCTCACATTGCCAAGGAAACAGAGCGAGACTAAATCCTTGCGACATCCACGATCCTTGCTGAAGAATGAACTTCAAATCTTGCTCGTAGGGGGAAAAAAAAATTAAAACAAATGACCTTGAAATTAAAATATTGCACCACCGATACTTGACCTGCAAGTTGCCAATAAAAAGTGATTGAAGATTGAAGCTTCGAGGCATGTATTCTTCTTATATCCGCCACTTTTGAAAAATATGATGAAGTTGACGAAACTTTCTGTGGTTAGGATCAATTGAAGGAAGAAACTTGAGGTGCCTTGCCTCCGTCGTAGAAATGAGCAACGATGCACTATTTCACTCTATATTCAACACTAGATCATGCAACTAATAGAATAGAGTTTTTCCAAAGCTAAGGAGATCAACAAAACAAAGTGCCTATTTAGATTTTAATTAGATATAATAGATTATAAAAATAATTAATTAAATGATAAATTTTAATCATAATTAATTATGTTATAACGTAATCTATTTAGATATTATTTTTTTAAAATTGATATTAATAAAATTAAAAATATTTAAATAATTTATTTAAAATTAATTTTATCTGTATAAATTATCATAAAAGACATTACTTTTTAAAATTAAATTATTGATAAATTTGTATATAATATTTAAAAAGTA